TATATATATATATATAAAGGTGTCTCCTTGTACACCGTAGATATCCACCCGCTGTCTCTTCTTATAAGAAGACATTTATATATATACTTATTTATAAGCCGCACTCTTAGCAGCAGCAGCAGCAGCAGCAAGTCCTCTTGCTGCTGCTGCTGCTGCTGCTGCTGCTATTGTTGTTGATGCTTGTGATTCTCCTGCTGCTATTAGGCAGCTGCCGCAGTGCTTTGTTGTTCCTCTTGTTGCTGCACCTCTTGCTGCAGCAGCAGCTGCTGCTGCAGCACACAGCAGCTGCTGCTGCAGCACACAGCAGCTGCTGCAGACAGCAAACAGCAACATCCGCTGCTGCATACAGCAGCAGAATGTTGCTGCTGCAGCAACATTGCTGCAGCAGCAGCTGCTGCTGCTGCTGCAGCAACATTTGATCAGCGCAGACGCCCCGCCGGAATTAAAACAACGGCATGCATTTATCAGCAGCAGCAACTGCTGCAGCAGCAGCAACAGCAAGCAGCAGCAGCAATACCAATACCCAGACTGCTGCTGCTGCTGCTGCTGCTGCTTCTGTCGTTGCCGAAGGGCACACCCGACTCTTTTTGCTCAAAGGGCTCATTAAGGGTTTAGGGTATAATTAGGGTTTAGGGTTTATCGAGGGTTTAGGGTTTACGAACAGCAGCAGCAACAACACTAGCAACAACGACAGCAGCAGCAGCAGCAGCAAGCACAAAGACATTATAACTAGCGCAGCAGCACAACAGCTGCTGCTGTTCTGCTGCTGTTGCGGTGTCTGTATCGCCTATAATTGAGATCTGCTGCTGTTGCTGCTGCTGCTCCTAGTACTATTATTATTACTATTACTACTACTACTGCTGCTGCTGCTAGTATTACTGCTGCTGCTGCTACAAGTATTGCTGCTGCTGGTACTAGTATTGCTGCTGCTGCTACTAGTATTGCTCCTCCTGCTGCTGTGGCTAATAGAGGCAACCTTCTGCTTTATGTGTGCGACCCTACTCCCCTAAGGGCCCCACACATTTGCAGCATTAGCAGCAGCTGCTGCAGCAGCTGCTGCTGCAGCTAGCACTACTTTTTCTACAGTTGCTGCTGCAGTTAATTGAGTTGTTGCTGCTGCTGCTAGAGTTGCTGCTGCTGCTACTAGACTAGCTGCTGCAGCAGCAAAAATATATTTGCTGTTAAGTCTAATACTTCTCTACAGTGTGCGCAAGATTTGCTACACCCCGAAGCAGCAGCTCCAGTAGCTGCAGCCGCAGCAACAGCTTCCTCAGCAGCAGCAGCAGCAGCAGCAGCAGCAGCAGCAAGAAGCGCTTAGATGTATATACACGTAAGCTAATTGTATTAATGTAGACAATAAAGTTTTTGCTGCAGAAGAAATTTAATTTTATTACAGACATAATAAATCTCTCCCTCTAGACAAGCAGCAGCAGCAGCAGCAGCAGCAGCAGCAGCAGCGGCAGTGGCAGCAGGAGCAGCAGCAGCAGGGGCGCTGTTGGTATTTGCTGTATACAGCAATTATATTTATCATATTATTAATAAAGGAGGATCCTCAAGGGATACACAGGTGCAGCAAATTGCAGCAGCAGCAGCAGCAGCAGCAAAAGGCGCAGCAGATAATATTTATGCAACTGCCGACCGACTGCAGCAGCAGCAGCAACAGCAGCAGCAGCAGAAGCAGCAGCAACTGATTGTTAAGGTAAAAACTTCCTTCTGTACTGCAGCTCAACAACACAAAGAAGCAAAAGCAGCAGATAATCGTGTTGGTGCTGCTGCTCATGCCAGCTGCTGCTAGTGCTGCCGCCGCCGCCGCTGCTGCTGCTGCTGCTGTTCGTCGTTTCGCTGCGCTGCCGCTGCAGCAGCAGCAGCAGCTGCGCACCCCACTCCTTGTTCTTCGCGTAGAAGACAGCAGCGCGGTGTTGCGCATGCAGCCCCTCTAAGGCTGCAGTAGCAGCAAGACTCGATGCCTGCAGCACCAGCTGCAGCAGCAAGAGCAACAGCAGCAGCAGCAGTAGGAAATCTGCAGCAACAGGGGCAGCTCCTTTACTAGCAGGAAGATTCGGAGCCGCATGGAGATGCAGCGCAGCCCAAGCAGCAGCAGCAGCAGCGGCAGCAACAACGACGGCAGCCAAGGCAGCAACACAGACTACTGCAGCAGCAGCAACAGCAGCAGCAGCAGCAGCAGCAGCAGTATATGTGGAGCGGAGGAGTGTGCAGTGTCTCTTTCTGGCAGAGACACTGCAGCGACTCGCAGCAGCCTTGAGGACAGCGCAGCAGCAGCAGCAACAGCCGCAGCAGCAGCAGCAGCAGCAGCAAACGTAGGGCCTCAGGTATCCTTAGGCAACTCTTCTCTTAGCACCAGCAGCAGCAGCAAATTGGCTGGTCCTCCTCCCGTGGTAGAGGAACCTGAAAGTGCACCTGCAGCAGCAGCAGCAACAGCAGCAGCAGCAACAGCAGCAGCAGCAGCAGCAGCAGCGTGTACAACGACAGATGCAGCAGGTGCCGTTGAGGCGACAATGAAAGGATCACATAGACTAGAGCAGGGATCGGACCCTGCAGCAGCAGCAGCAGGTTGTGCTGCTGCTGCTGCTGCTGCAGTACCACATGTTGCTGTTGATGCTGCAGCAGCAACACAGGCAGCAGCAGCAGCAGCAGCAGCAGCAGCAGTAGGAGCAGAAGCAGCGAGTAGGAAGAACGTCGATGCTTCAGCAGCATCAGCTGCAGATTCAGCAGTAAGCCCTTCAGCAGCAGCAGCAGCTGCTGCAGCAGCAGCAGAAGAAGCAGCAGCAACTGTAGCAGCAGAAGCAGCAATTCAATCTCTTGCTGCTCTCCTAGATGGACCCCACCAGCAGCCATCGCGGAGTGTTGCTGCTGCTGTTGCTGCTGTGCATACAGTGACAGTAGAGGCAGAGCAGGCAGCGATGATGGCTGCTGCTGCTGCAGCAGCCGCAGCAGAAGCAGCAGCCGCAGCAGAAGCAGCAGCAGCAGCAGAAGCAGCAGCAGCAGCAGAAGCAGCAGCAGCCGCAGAAGCAGCAGAAGTAGCAGCAGCTGCAGAAGCGGCAGAAGCAGCAGAAGCAGCAGAGGCAGCAGAAGCAGCAGAAGCAGCAGCAGCAGCAGAGGCGGCAGAAGCAGCAGCAGCTGCAGCTGCTGCTTCTCCACAGCAGGCTGGGGAAGCCGGCCATTCGCCAGCTGCCGATGCAGCAACAGCAGCAGCAGCAGCAGCAGCGACAGCAGCAGATGCATCAGCAGCAGCAGCAGAGCTATCGGAGGCTGCTGCTGTTGAAGAAGCAGTCAACGCAGTGGTAGCAGCAGCAGCAGCAACAGCAGCAGCAGCAGCAGCAGCAGCAGACAGTCCTCCTACAGCCACTCCAGTAGCGCCTCCGCCTGCAGCACCACCGCCTGCTGCTGCAGCACAAGCTTCAGATGCATCAGCAGCAGCAACAGCAGCAACAGCAGCAGCAACAGCAGCAGCAGTTGCTGCTGCAGCAGAGGGAGCGCCACCCTTCTTGTTTTTCTCTCAGGGACTTGATCTTAGTCATCTAGTCTCATCTAGTCGGCAGCAGCAGCAGCACCAACAGCAGCAACAGCAGCAACAGCAGCAGCAGCAACAGCAACAGCAGCAGGAGGATGCTGCTGCTCGCACTGCTGCTGATGTTGCTGCAGCGCGTAGCTCTCCTGCTGCAGGCTCAGATCCTTCGACAGCAACACTGCTGCAGGACAGTCAGCAGCAAACGGGAGGGCAGCAGCAGCAGCAGCAGGAACAGGAGCAGCAGCAGCCTGGCGATGGGCCTTCTTCGCAGGAAACAACAGCAGCAGCAGCAGCAGCAACAGCAGCAGCAGCAGCAGAAGTTGTATCTCCTGAACCACCGGGTCCTTCTCCTCCGCAACAGCAACACCAGGAACAGGAGGAGGAGCAGCAGCAAGAGAACCAGCAGCAGCAACAGCAGCAGCAGCAGCATCATGACCTGTATGCTGTTGATAGAATAGTAGGGGTAAGAGCAACAGCAGCAGGTCTGCTGCAGTATAAGGTACGATGGGTAGGACATTCTGCTGCTGAGGATACATGGGAGCCGCAGCAGCACCTGCGGGGCCTCGAGCTGCTGCTGCAGCAAGCGCAGCAGCAGCTAGGTGTTGATTGTTTTATTCCTTGGGGGCCTACAGATCCAAGAGCTGCTGCTGCCGCAGCAGCAGCAGCCACCACGGCAACAACAACAGATACAGCAGCAACGGCAACAGCAGCATCACCACCAACTGCAGCAGCAGCAGCAGCGCAGCCAAGAAGCCAAACAAACACGCAGAATTCAGGGTCCAGCAGCAGCAGCAGCAGCAACAGCAGCAGCAGCAACAACAACAACAGCAACAGCAGCAGCAACAGCAGCTGTAACACCAACATCAACAACGATAGCAGCAGCAGCAGCAGGAACAGGAGCAGCGGCAGCGGCAGCAGCAGCAGCAGCAGGAGCGGCGGCAGCAGCAGCAGCAGCGGTAGCAAAGGTGGCGTATCGGTTCCTGCACCAGCAGCAACGCGCGAACTGAGCAGCAGCGGCCATCCGACCAGCAGCAGCAGCAGCAGCAGCAGCAGCGGCAGCAGCAGCAGCAGCAGCAGTGGGTGCAGGACCTCCCCCCCTCCTCCTGTGCTGCAGAGCGTGCTGCAGTACCGCAGCAGATTTGGTCGAGGAGAGTACCGTGTTAAGTTTTGGGGTGTATCCTCAGGTGGGCAGAAATGGCTAACAGAGCAGCAGCTGCTGCTGCTGTTGCTGCTGCTGCCAGATAATTCTCTTGCTGCTGCTGTTAGGCAGCAAGCAGCAGCAGCAAAGATGCAATGGCAAGAAAGAACCAGAGAAACTGCAGCAATAGATAGTGCATGGTGGGGTTGTGTATAAACACTCCTGCTGCTGCTGCACTTGCTGCAGTTGCTGCTGCTGCTGCTGCTGCTGCTGTCACGGTAGTCATATCACGGGCACTAGCAACAGCAGCACTAGCAGCAGCTGCAGCAGCAGCAGCAGCAGCAGCAGCAATGGCAGATAGGAGTAAATATTTGTTAATGTATAAAGACACAAAAGACAACTTTTCTTTTTGTCTAAGGAATACTAACACCAACAAATATACTGCTGCTGCTTCTGCTGCTGCTTCTGCTGCTGCTTCTGCTGCTTCTGCTGCTATTCCTGCTGCTGTTGCTGCTGCTAATAAGGAGAGTACACTCGTAGGTCTTCATAGAAGGCACAGCCATAGAGATACGAAGACACAAGATAAGGCAGTAGTAGTAGTAGCAGCAGCAGCAGCAGCAGCAGAAGCAGCAGCAGCAGCAGCAGCAGCAGCAGAGATAGATAGAGAGATAAATAAGAGGTGTGCATACACTTGAAAGTATCCTTTTGTCAATCAATACTTAAATGCTGCTGCTGCTGTTGCTGCTGCTGTTGCTACTGCTGCTGCTGCGCTGTCTACACACTCGCAACAGCACATGCTGCAGCAGCTGCTGCAGCAGCGATAGCACACATACAGCACCAGCAGCAAATAGAGCAGCAGCAAACGCAGCAGCAGCAGCCATCACCGCTAGTAGCAGCTGCTGCTGCTTCTTGTCTCAAGTACTGCCACTAGCTGTTGTTTCTTGTGTTGCTGCTGGTGCTGCTGTTGCTGCAGCAGCTGCTGCTGTTGCTGCTGGTGCTGCTGCTGGTGCTGCAGTGTAGGGCCTCTTCTTCTTTGCTGTTCCTGTTGCTGCTGCTAATCCCTGCAGCAATTCTTCTTGTTTATCTGCTGGTAACTTTAGGAACTCTTCTTCCTCTAATACAGCTGTATATACACCGCAAATACAGCAGCAGCAGCAGCAGCAGCAGCAGCAGCAAAAACAGCAGCAGCAACAACAATGAGTGCACAGAATACTGCATTAGACATTGTTTATAACACCAACAGGTGCTGCTGCTCCTGCTGTTATTGCTGCTGCTGCTGCTGCTGCTGCTGCTGCTGCTGCTGTTGAGGTGTATAGGGAGCTTACGTGATTCTGCCTTATCAAGTAATTCTGTTGATGTAAAATAAGGAGGACCGTCTTGAGGGCCTCTGTATAACCCACAACCTATTATCCTGCAGCAGCAGCAGCAGCAGCAGCAACAGCAGCAGCAGCAACAGCAGCAGCAGCAGTTTTACTGCAGTAGCGGTAGGACGAGGAGGAAGAACAGCAGCACCTGCTGTTGCTGCAGCAGCAGCAGAAGCAAAACTCACCTCACGGGCTGCATAGGGACTCCGTTCTTTGTACCCACATCCTCTATCTGCAGCAGCAGCAGCAGCAACAGCAGCAGCAGCAGCAGCAGCAACAGCAGCAACAGCAGCAGCAGCAACAGCTGTAGATAGGAAGATCCCCCTACACTGATTACACCCGAAGAACCCTCATCCCTAAACCCTAAACCCTTATTCTACCTAAACCCTAAACCCTCCCCCTCCCCCCCCCCTAAACCCTAAACCCTAAACCCTAAACCCTAAACCCTTATATATAATAATATACCTTACGTATAGTCTTCATTCCCTTAATAACAGTACCTATAACAACATGCTGATTATTAAGGACAGGAAGGGGACAAAAAGAAATAATAAATTTACTATTGTTACTATGAGGACCATCAGATAACATCGCTACATCTCCATCTTGAATAAATTGCATCGAAAAATTCTCATCACGAAACCTGTATATACACCCCAAAACCCTAAACCCTAAACCCTAAACCCTAAACCCTTATATTTATCAAAAAATTTTTTTTTCAAAAAAAAAATATTCATGGGTATACCCTACAGCAGCAGATATCAGCAGCAGCAAACAGTCGCAAGCAGCAGCAGCAGCAGCAGAAGCAGAAGCAGCAGCACAAGAAGCAGAGCTCAATTAATGATGTTTAGGGTTTAGGGTTTAGGGTTTACTTTTTGCCATATATAGACATGCCTTCGCCTCCACAACCCGTAAGGACACCACCTGCTAGCAGTGCTACTCCCTGCTGCACTTTGTGCACCTGCAGCAGCAGCAGCAGCAGCAGCAGCAGCAGCAGCAGCAGCAGAAGCAGCAGCAGCAACAGAAGAAGCTGTATAGATGCAAAAGTAGCGGTTTTGCACCAACCAACCTTTTCTTTCCCGTCCTTGAGCCCACCATTAGGGTTTAGGGTTTAGGGTTTAGGGTTTAGGGTTTAGGGTTTATTATATACCTATGTATTTCTATATCCAATAACTTTATGATAAACCCTAAACCCTTGACAAAGTTGTATAAATTAGCCCAATCTACCTATCTTACTGTTTAGTGTTTAGGGTTTAGGGTTTAGGGTTTAGGGTTTATTATATACCTGTGTATTCCTGTATCCAATAACTTTATCATAAACCCTAAACCCTTGACAAAGTTGTATAAAGTTTTCTGCAGT